CTTTCCACAAAAAGATGAGTTGTTTACCCTGAGTATTGATTGCATAATGGTAAGGCAGCTTTTTGCAGCCATATCTTCCACCTGGGCCTATCATTGCATTTCACTTGGCAGTAATGGAGTCAGAGAAATTTGCATCAGATGTGTATGCAGTTCCTTAGCCCTTCTTTTGAGGAATACAGCTGGCTCCAGAGGCTTAAAAATTCTGTCAGTGTTACACCCCAGTCACTCAAACCTAGGGCTAAACCAAGGTTATTTTGCTTTGGGTAGATGCAAAGGAGAAAATTCCAGCCCAATATTCTCGAGGTAAAAATACACAAAAGCTTATTGGCAAACTATAGACAGTTAAAAAACTTTGGCAAGAGAGTAAATATTACAATAACATCTCTCACCACAGCATAGACTTATCCCATTGAACATAGAAAACCTAAGATGTTACATTCTGTGACATAAAAGTTAGATGAAGAAGAAAGGGAGAAAACTGGAAAAGATATAGAAGAAGCAGGCGTATAGCTACGAATGCCTTGCTTCCAGTGATGTGAAACTCCAAGATGAAGGTAGGGTTAAAGGACCATGTGCTTGCCTTGTAGTGACCCTTCTTAAACCTTTTTGGCCCATCTTGGGCCTTCCTCCCAGGAGGGACTTCAGTCTCTTGGCCTCTCATGGAGCACTGGGGCTGCCATGATTGACACTGTGTGGGTGGGGGAGATGGGGGGCAGGGCAGCACTTCACCAGAGGAAGGTCTGACCCACCCCCTACCATGCATGCCAAGCATCCTAAGATGTTGTGAAACAGATTACCTTTTCCAGTCTCTTTTCCATTGACAGTCAGTCAATGTACAGTTTCCCTGAACCAAAATTCCCCTAGTGTATCTCCTCAGTTGGACGCTGTTCAGAGGCTTGATTCAAATAACAGCCTTGCACTTTATGTAAAAAGAAGACTTCAGGCAAAATATTCCTGCTTCATAATCATAACAAAAGAAGGGTTTTTAAACTACAAATATAATAACCGTAATTCAGGTAAATTTTGTTATTTAGAATGAAGTGGGCAAGTCAGCTTTGCCTTTCTTATTGAAAGCTGACATTTAATGCCTGAAAATAGATGGGAAATGAGTGTGAATTACTCAGAGAAAAATGCTGCCGACAACAGAAACTTCAGAACAATTGCATGGAACAACCTCTCAGCCTACCTTCCCAGCCCTATTCAGGCCTTAGCAATGTGTTCATTGCGTCCCAAACCCCCACTGACTTTAGTGGGTGTTCTGAACAGACCCAGAACAGGAAGTACTGCCCATATTTCCCACTGTGGCAAAACCTCTGCTGTGACTTGTAATGGTTTATCACTGATCCCCAGATCCAAAATCTCATTCACCAGGTCACAAAAGCTGAGCAGAGCCTGAGTGCAGCAAATGTCACAAGTATTTCAGACCAATCTAGCATCTAAGATCCTTGGTTGTGAATAACACAGCTGGTATCTTTATGATGCCATCTTTTCAAGTCTAATGCAAAAGCCTCAGTAAGCAAAGAAAAACAATCCATTCTATACTCCATTTCAGATGCTATAAATTCAGCTTTGTATTTTGAAGGACTTTTCTATATAAATATGTATGTCAAGTTTTTCCATATTAAAACTGAAGCTTGTACCAATGTTTATGTACAAGGAATGGTTCAAAATTAATACTGATCTGGAGTATCAGGATCCTCAAGTCCAAATCCTGGCCCTGCATAAGACACCCCAAGAGTCACACCTGAGTAATTGTCCAAACAGTTCTTGAACTCTGTAAGGCTTGGTGCTGTGACCACTTCTCTGGGGAGCCTGTTCCACTACTCATCCTCCATCTGTGTGCAAAATCTTTTCACACAGATATCCACCCTAAACCTTCCCTGACTCAGCTTCATGACATTTTCTCAAGTCCTGTCACTAAGAGTGAATAGATCTGCACATTTATATCTTTATATTTATATAAATATATAATATTTATATTTAGATCTGTATCATTTACCATCTTTTTGGTTCCTGCAATTAATACGGGAGACAGTTGCAAAGAACTTGTGCTTTATTCCAGTTCTGCTGTTCCTGGCTATGGGGACATGCATTATGCATTGTACCAAAACTGAAAAAGAATTTTAAAAAGATAAGAAGAGCTAAAGACAGAAAAAATCAAACCAAAGCTGAGCTGGAGTCTACTGTTGACAAACCAGAATGAGTTACAGGGACTTAAACTCGTTTTTAAAACTGCTTTCATACTCTCAGGGCCCCAGAGGTACCACCAATCCTGCCTGCTCCTGCCCACCCCCTGGGCTCCCCCAACCCTCCCCAGGACCCCATCTCAGCCCTAAAAGGGCCATCAGTCTCTGTCCTGCAGATCAGCAGGCTGATCTACAGCTCTCCACAGCTTTGCCTTGTGCCTTTCTCCAGGCACAAGCCCGGCCTGGGCTGACGTCTTGTGTTTCTGACACTGCCCAGTCCCCATTCCTTTCCCCATGGACCTGCCTAGCCACTGAGAGGTTTCGCCTCACCATGGTTCACCACACTGAGCCTGATCATTTAAAACACTTTAAAATTAAAAAAAAAAAAAAAAGTAATTCACAATGAACATATATTTTCATTCCATAATGTACTTGCATTTAATGAAGAATGCAGTTTCCTAGCAGCAGGTGTTAACATTGAAATGAAAAATTAGATCATTATATTGTGTATCTGCTTTCAGAAGGATAAATTGAAAATAGGATTTACTAAAAACACTGATAATATCTTGAAACCCTCATTTGTCTTTAAAGGTATATTACATTTCATGGGGTTTCTAGTTTGCTTGGGGTATTTCAAGACTGCTTGAGGAATACAGAGTGGAATGTTTTTCTAAGCTATCATAGCTGTAAGTCTGCTTGAAGTGTGACCTATTGATAGCTTTATGGAGGTTTGTTTGGATCCCTCTATCCTCCCTCATTCTGAGAAAGCTTGAAAAGTAATGATAAAGCTTCTGATTCTCAATCTTTCTGAAGTAAATGCCAAAATTAAAAGTGAAATCTGAGGCCACAAGAATCTGTTCTTAAGTTCTGATTCGGCAGACCATAAATGTATTTACCTAATCTCTGCACAGCATAAAGGGCTATGCTTGGTGTTAAAAATTAAGCAAATCTTTCCAGGATTAGGATTATCCTTTGACACTGTTGCTTATTTTCATCACTAATTTCCTCCAACTAATATTCATGATGAAGAATGGAAAGTCAAACTATGAAGGAAGTGTTTCTGCTGTCATCTGTGATTATTACTTTAGTCTAATGGGTAGAGTCAACAAAATGCACTTCCTTAAGGCCAGGTCCATGACAGGATAATTTGGTGCAGGCTGAGGAAATCTTCAGGAGAGACAGACAAGTAAATGCATATTAGACAGATAGTATATGCCATTGAAGAGTTAGAAGGACAGTCAAATATTATTAATTTCACTTTGTCCTCTTGATATGAGATCTTTTACTGATGGTTTGAGTTCTCCAACCTAAAAATTTTCTTATCTTTGATTCTGAAGATTATAACCTAACAAGGCATAGACCTATAGGAATGAGAAGTCTCTATGACATACTTTTAATATGTCTTATTGCTATCTGTGACGCTGTATTCCTTTAAATTGATTTTCTGCTTTGAATGCAATCAGACAAGAAGCACAAGTTTTGATGTCCTACAATTGCAGCTTTAGCATAGGAAATCATGCACTTATGTGAGGGTATGGCCATATGTACATATAGACATATCATAAAGCTCTTGAGGACATGCTTTCTTTTCAACAGCACTGAATTTGCATCCATACAGCACATCTTGTTGGGCATTCAGAGAGTTCACAGGGCTCTTTAGAACTCAAATTATTTTTTCACCTACTTGGCATGCATGGTGATGAATTAGTGCTGTCTTCATTATACAGCTGGAAATTACTTTCTATGGCTACTTGACTATCAGCTTCTATACCAAATTCATGGGTAGGAAAAAATCTGTAAAATGCAGTTCTTCCTATTTGCTTGTACATGATTTTATTCTTATATTGTATTCTCTGATATGTCCTAGAAATTCTATGCCTTCTCATAACTATATTTCATTTTTAGCCTCCTTCTGACCCAGGTTCTTCTGTACTTCTCTTACTGTCCAGTGCTTTCAGCTGCAGTGCAAGGTTATTCTATTATTTTACTTCCTTGTGCTCCTGTGGATGTCTTGTTCTACAGCATTCTGTTGTGTAATATTTTCCTTTGTAAAACCTTATACTCAGGGATAAGTCTTATCACAACTATCGTTTTTTTTGTGGGGGGGATCAATTTTGACTAGCTAGAGGACAAAAATGATGAAATGCTTCAGGAACATGGGAATACAAAGAGAAAAATATTAGAGATTCATAAACCTCTAAGAAACTTACTCTCACTTGTTGTGGTTTAACCTCAGTTGAAAACACAGCATCGTGCAGGTACTCACTCTTCCTCCACCCTCCCCTGATGTGATAGGGGAGAGATTCAGAGAGTAAAAGTGAGAAAATTCGTGGGTTGAAATAGGGAAAGCAAATGGGTTTAATAGGGAAAGCAAAAGTCATGCATACAAGCAAAGCAAGACAAGAAATTAATTGACTATATCCCATGGGCAGACAGGTGTTGAGCCATCCCCAGGAAAGCTGAGCCTTGTCATGTGCAACAGTGACTTGGGAAGAAGAAAAATGATATCACCCCAAATGTCCCATTCTTCCTCTTCCCCCTAGCACTATATGCTGAGCATGATGTTCTATGGTATGGATCATCACTGTGCTCAGCTGGGGTCAGCTGTCCCAGCTGTGTCCCCCCCCAACGCCTTGTGCACTCCCAGCCCCCTTGGTGGTGGTGAGGAGTGAGAACAAAAAGGCCTTGAGGGTCTGTCAGCCCTGCTCTGAGGTGACTAAGACATCCCTGAATTATCAACCCTGTATCAGTGCAAATCCAGAACACGGTCACATAGTAGCTACTGTGAAGAAAATAAACTCTATTGCAGCCAAAATGGTCACATTCTCCTACCCTTATTCCATAGGACTTAACTGCTTCTCAGAAGAGCACTATTCTTGGGGAGAAATAGAGGAAAGTTATGGACCTCATACCATTGGTGTAAAAGCAGAGCCTGAATATGGTGAGTACAAGTAAAATCTTTTCAGCATTAGCTCTTGGAATTTAATTGATCTAGTTCCTTACCCATCCTGCTATTCTTATTATTAATCTCTGCATTATTTGTTTTAACTCAAAAGATTTTGTAGTCTACTAAATACTTCAGTGAAGGCCAGAAAGATGATGCTTCCTCTAAGTCTTCTCTATAAAAAAAAAAACAATTATCCATAAAATGTACCAGCTCACAGAGCCTGGCACATTGTATTTTTGGCAACCATCACATTTTCAGTTTACTTTCATATCTTCAGCTATTCATCCTTCAAAATAGATATGTTCTCAGAACATGTAAATTTAGTAAACTTTAGCCCCAGGTAGAATTTTGTCTTAAAAGCCATACATAGAAATATAAATCTCAGGCAGTTTTGTTAAAGTTTTGTATACTGTGCAATGTGGGTTAAATTTTGTATACTGTGCAATGTGGATTATATTTTGTGCTCCTCAGATACATGCATAGTCAAATACACATCCTGGATGAACAGAATCTGCTTCTTACTTGTCTTCTTTTTGCTCCTTCCGTTTGATATTTAAAACTGTCTTAATGTTTTCCTACTTTAAACGGTGAAAGAAAAGGATACAAAAAATCAGCTTTCCAAATCTAATCTGACACCATAGTGTTTTACAGAAGTCTTGTAATTATTTGAACATTGTCACTACTATTTAATATACAAATAAAGAGCTGCATGTATTTGGGGGAATACAATACTGTGTATTTCACAGACACATTATTCAGATAACTCACTAAGATGCCTTGTAGAAGATAAGAGTTTTGCTTTTGGGTTTGTGTTCTCTCTTTTTTTTTCCCCCAGGCAAGCTTCAGTGTTTTGTGGCACAAGTCTCTGTATTGTGGAACAGCAGCTGGTAACAGGCTGTAGGAAAGTGCTGTCTTTTAAGTGGAACATGCCTTCATGCTTGTAAAAAATAATCTAATTTATCTATACTTTGTTGGAGGGGGGGAAAAGGAAGGTAGCCAACACTTCATCCACACATCATCCCCACGCCATACTTTTAGGAGAGGGTGAGTATAAATTTGGATTTATTATCCCGCCCCAGAAGATCACTTATCTGTGATCAAACTACATATATACCATGTAGGGACCGCGGTATTTCCACCGATCCTGTTTCTCCCAACTGCCCCTGGAGAGGCCCCTGGAGAGCACTGTTTGTTCATCCATCTCTTTGTACGCTATGGACTTGGCAGTGCTGGATTAACGCTCGGACTTGACGATCGTAGATCTTTTCCAACCTAAACCACTCTACGATTTACCATTGCCAGGAGCAGTGACTGCCGGAATCGAGTCCCTCTCCCCGGAGCCCGTTCCCAGTTCACACCCGCGGGGGACAGCAGGAGCTGGCACAATGGCGCTGCCAGGAAGGGAAACCCCTTTCCCCGGCGCCGCTGGTGCGCGGACAAGGAGGGGATGGAAGAGCCCGAGCAGCAGCCTCAAGCACCGAAACACTCGCCGGCCGGGCTGGGGCGGCGGGACGGGAACAGGCTCACGGGCCACCGTGGGCAGAGGGCACCCGGCCGCTGCCAGCGGGACTCCCTGAGGATCGGGGTCCTGGCTGCTTCCCCTGTCCCCGGAGCCCGCTCCGACCCGGCACAGCGCGGGCGGCGAACAATGCCCGCCCCCGGGCTGCCCCGGCCGGGCTGCTGCGGGCCCGCCCCGCCGCTCGGCGGCCGCCGCTCCCCGCCCCTCCCGCCTCGGCCGCCCGCGTCCCTTGAACTTTCCCCGGGCTCTCGCAACAAGCGGCCCACGCCGGGCTGCCGCGGCCGCCGCTGTTCGCACAACCCCCTGCCCCTTCCGCCAAGTTCTCCTCAAGCACAGCCTGCCCTCGGAGCCTCCAAAATCCCTGCGAACTGCCCGCCCGGGATGCCCGGCACGGCGCCTGAGAAAAGCCCGCCGCCGCCCCCGCTCCCCTCCCGTTCACACCTCACACAGCCCCCGCCCTCCCTCGCACGCCCACCCGCGCCCCCCGCCTCCCCACCAGCGTTCCCTCTGCCCACCCCGCCCTGGTCCGCGAACGCCCACCCCCGGCCGCTGCCCCTTCCCCAGAGCCAGACCCGGGCAGAGCTCTCCGCTGCCGCCGGCTCCCCGCGCTGGGGCCGCGCCGATCTCCCCGCGCTACTTCCCGCCGCCGAAGCGAAGCCCCTCCACAAAGGAGCGAGGCAGCAGGAGGCGGGGGATACACGCACGCCCGGCCGCTCCGTCCGGATGCGGTGAGCCCCCCGCTCGCCTCCGGGGCCGCGCCAGTGCGGGAGGGAAGAAGCGGAGCAGCGGCGGCGGCGGCTCTCCGGCTGCCACCATGGGCTGCTGCACGGGGCGCTGCACGCTGATCTTCCTCTGCTCGCTGCAGCTGGTGAGTGACGGGGCGCGCTTCGGCTTTGCTGGGGGTGGGCAGGGACGGCCGCTGCCTCCCCGGCCCGGGCCGGCCGCCGGGGGCGCGGAGCTGTCCGCGCCCGCCGCCCCGACGGCGCGCCCGCCCCGCGGCCCCGCGCTCCGACCCGCGAGTTTCGCGGAGCGGCCCCGCGGCTGGGGGACGGAGCGGCCCCGCGGCTGGGGGACGGAGCGGCCCCGCGGCTGGGGGACGGAGCGGCCCCGCGGCTGGGGGACGGAGCGGGCCGGCCAGCCGAGGCGGGTGCCGCGGCGCCGCAGCCCGGGCGGCTGTCAGCGCTCCCTGCCTGCGGGAGAGCGGCTCCCTCGCCCTGGTGTCGCTTCGGGAAGGTGTCACTCCCCGCTGGCCCCGTCTGCTCAAAGTAGAGGCCGAGGGGAAGAATGAGGTGACGGTGCCCCGGTCAGTGCCCGCGGGGCGGCGGCGGGGCCGGACACTGCTGGGCGCTGCCGGCGCGGTGGGAAGATGCGGGGACCAGGATTGACGCATCTTTCTTTTTCTATTTTTCTGAAACCTGTGTAAAAGCGGCGTGTGCCGGTCCTCTCCCTTGGCTTTTTTGGGGGTTCCTTTGCTCGGCTTAAGTATTCCTCAGCGTGCAATTGAAACAACAGAGCGGTGCCGCTTCTTCTCTTTGTTTAGTGGACTTAGCATATTTATCTTAGAGCAAAGAGTTGTGAGATAAATCACCGCCAAACAACAATAATCCTTCATCTAGCTCATTAGCAGGATGATAAAATAATGCTCTTCCCTTAACGGTAGTCCCTGGTCCCAAGAGTGTTTTAAAAGATTTTTCTCTTTTCTAGTGACTCAGTGTCATCATTTTGCCACATGATCTCTCTTAAAATGAGTGGAGTTCCTCGTGTGTGTGTGTGTCTGTAAAGAAGAAAAGTGGGATGCATTTAGTGTGAGGGGGTTGTTTGTTTATATTTGTAATCCTTTGCGATCTTTCTATTTTTCTCTTACAGCACTTTGAAATCGCTTCTGTTTCAGAGGTAATACTCTAGAAGTAATTGTACATATTGCATTTGTTTGAAAATCCCCTTTCGTTTGCAAGGCTTTGTGCCAGATTCTTAGCCTGTGTAAACTGGTGTGTTTCCATTGTTTCCAGTGTGAGCCTGGACCTTATTCACATGTGAATAGAGCAATGGACTTAGTGTGGTATAAGTAACTCAACGTCAGAACCCTGCCCAGAAACAGACGAGGCATATGATTTGCACGTAGTGTAACGAAAGTATTTTGTATACATTGCTTTTATTTTTTGTTTTCTGTCAGTTTTGTGCTAACCACTGCAGCAGAACTGCTCCTGATTTACATCAGGGGCATGTGGGAGGGGAAACGAACCCTATTTCTTCAAATATATCTTTTTGCCAGTTATGAGGGTTATAATAACTGTATTTACTATTCTGTGGGATAACTGGGAGTCTATAAAAATTGAAGTAAAGTGTGAATGGCCACCATAATCTGTAGAGAAATGCATAAAAAGTATTTCAGGAAAAGAGTCATGTTTTATAAAAGACCTATCAGAGGATATCACAACTTTCAAAAATTACTTCAATGCATAGTTTTTTCTGCTGTTCTTACATGTTTTATAGTGATGTTCCACTGTCTTATCTATGTCTTTCAGGTGCTGATAAATGTCTGTATGGCAAAATGCTGTAATTTAAATTTATTTTCATTTAAAAGTAGAAGTCTTTCTTTATATTCAAGAAGTAACCTAGTAGATATTATGTCCTGGTTCCAACCAAGATAGGATTAATTTTTTTTGCAGTAGCCTGGAGAGGACATAGCTAGGACCTGGAGGTTATCCTGTGCTACCTCCCATCCTTGCCAGGGGTGGAGGAAAAGGACTCTCTTCCAGGGAGAATGGGCTCCTTCCATTTGGGGTAGTGTGGCACCAGTCCCAAACTGCAGAGAGAAGTGGGGTGGCCCTGGTTCCAAGCCAGGGGGAGCTTGGATGCATGGCTGTGAGTCTGGTGGGGCTGGATCGAGCATTTTGCATGTGAATCACTCTCTCTTCAGCACGCTTTTAATATCAATATTGTTGATGATACTGTTCCTTTTCTTATCTCATTGCTGTTTCCAGTAAATTGTTCTTATCTCAACTCATGATCTTTGCGTTTTGTGCCTCTAATTCTCCTCTCCAAGCACCTATAGGGGGAAGGGAGAGGGGGTGAGGGAGGAGAGAGTGGCAGCATGATCTGGGGAGTCTCAGTGGGAGAACTGAGTTGGGGAGTATCATTCCTGAGCCACGACACATGAACTTAAAGCTCAGATGCTGTCCATGATCTCAGTGGTGGTAGTGTTCAGTTTATATACATAGAAATTAACACCACATAGAGCTTAATATTTTTATAATATCTTAGAGGTGATGAATATAAAACATATGCAGCAAAACAGCATCCCTGGACATTACTCTCATTGAGATTTATTTTACTTTGCATCCACTTATGGAGGGGCGATTGTAGGCAACATTTAGATTAAATCTTGCAAAATCCAAGCACTTGTAGTGCTAACTTGTAGAATTTCAGAAGTACTGACGATTTATATGACTTGAGGAAAAACTTTAAAAAGGAAACATATGGCCACATAATTTTAAAAAAGAAGTTGTTTACATTAGTTGTGTTCTGGTCATGTCTGAGAAGGGCAACAGCTCAGGCTTAGCTTTAGGATTAACCTTGGATTAACCTTTAGCTATTACCTGAGAAAGAAGTATCTAATTAAATAGAGTTGGCAACACCTTTCATAGCATGTGTGTACTATGTAGATCCTCTTCTGTATAGGATGGAAAGTAAAAAAGCCAAATCCCTGGAGACATGTTCATAAACAAAATTAGCTTCTTGTTCTAAAGGAGAGTGCACTGTTCAATGTCCTTAAGGCACAGTTTCTTCATTCTTTAAAACTCCAGTCTTCTCTAACTTTTGCCTTCTTTATCCCAGCAACATATAAACAGTCGAGGCAAAAGTGAAGAGGAAAACCTATTGCATTACTGTGAATAAAATACCATTTCTCGAATGTTAACCCATTATGTGTGTTAACTGCAAGATTTGCTTGTAATTTTCAGTGCTGTTTGTCAGGGGATGTTTGACATAAAATTACAATAATAGCGATTTTCAATTATGCGTTAATCCACGAAAGTGGAGGTTTTTAGCTGACGCCTTTTACTTTTTTATAATGAACACATTTAAATGTTTCATTCAGTAATACTAAGAACAGTCTGTAAATAGTCTTCTATAATTTAATAATAACAACTTTATTTGAAAATGGGAATCCATATAATTATGTGTAATATCGAAAATAATAATGGAAAAAATCATTGAGATGGAAATGTAGATGGCACAAGTTCAGGAAAAGCTATTAGTCACTTTCAGGGTTTTATTGTACCCCTTCAGGTGGATTCTGCTTCTGAAAGCCAAGGAAATTTTGTGTAAGGAGGGCTGTATCTTGCCCCACTGCCCCTCCTTAATCTTCCACTGTTTTGCTCTTCCTGACTGAGGCATTGTCACATGCCATTAACAAAGATGTCTGAGCAAAGAACAATGAAGTCTATGTGTATCTTTTTGTGCATAAATATGTAATTAAGATTATTAGGAGCTATGTATACATTGGGAAAATATATCATAAGAATATATGAATCCCTTTTTATGAATCCCTTGGATTACAGCCATAATTCTTACTGATGCCACTAGAAAGCTTGAGACATTGGCTTTGTCTGTACTAGAAAATTAAACCAGCTGGCAGAGATTGTGCCTGTGCTATTGCAGACACCATGCCATAAAACACTGAAAGATGAAAATGTTTGGCTAATAAAACAAATTCCAAAAATATTAAATTCTGGAAGGGGTAAATTGACAATGAATTGCGGCAAGATTTAGCTGTGTGAATCCAATTGGTGTTAATAAATGTCACATAGTGAAAACCTTCATGCTGGTTTGAAAATGTGTTTCTGAGAAACTACCTTTACAGGATAATGTTGTTTCAACACTTACAATAAGTGGAAGTTTTTGGAACGTAGAAGTATGTAGATAAACAAACACAAAGAACTCTAAATACAGGGATGGCGAATGGGATTTTTAAAGTGGTAAAGGGATGGTTGATGGAAAGTGTGACTAAGTCCCTTCATGACTTTTGACAGTCTCATTTCATGTGTTTATGCTTGGGCTCCTCTGCACTGTGTTCATTCTGTAGGTCCTCATTTAGAACTGTATGGTTTATCCAGTTATAGCTAGTGTAAAATAGGCTGTTCCCTACTTAACCTGTTATTTTCCAAAGAATGAAAGTGTCAGCAGGCCACACTGAAAAGTTATTCCCGCAGAAATACAACTTCTATGTATTAATGTTTTGACTAGTGTTTGTTTGGGAAGTGCAGTTGGTCATTTTAACAGCCTAATCCCTTTCAATATTCAGTAGATTTATATTTATGATTGCCATTAACATGAATTATATTGATATATGTAAATCCTTACATTTGGAGATGAGACTGTATCCATTAGAATGAACAATACTGTTTCATCATTTGTTACTGGACATCTTAGAATTTCGGCAGTTATGTGGGGAAGTGATATATGTATATATCATGCATAGATTTTCATCTCATTTTTAAATACTTTATAGAGCTGGATACTCTATAACTTTGACTCTTGATGCTTGTATGTTAGAACTGACAGATACCAGTTATTCAGTTAACAGCTCAGGGATTCAAGGGAATTGATAAATTTGAGAAAGTAAAATCTTTGAACCAATAAATTGCTCCACTTTTTATGTTGATAAAAGAATCACCAGCCCATTGATCTGGAGATGAAGCATCTGTCCACTGATAAAAGAGGAGGAAGTT